GTGTGTGTGTGTGTATGTGTATATATATATACTAAAATAATATATATATATATATATATACATTACTATATACATATATATATATATATATATATATATCAGGTATATATATATATATATGTATGTACATATATATGTGTATGTGTGTGTGTGTGCGTGTGCGTGCGTGTTTGTGTGTTACTATATATTATTCTTTACAAGTTTGTCGAAGAACTTGCACCAGCATTTAGACATATTGTACTACGTGGGCAGGGTTCAGCTTAACAGTCGGGCATCTTTCCACTTGTTTACATTTTTTAACTGGAATGGGTGTAACATTTGTTGCCATCGATATCATTAGAAGCGTCAAGTCGTCAACCATGGGCAGTTGGGGCTCAATTCACAGTGTCACTTCGTATTCGAAAACAATAGGGAACTTTGTTTATACTAGCTAAAATTTAGGCTGGCTCACACTTAACTTTTATCACTGGACACACCATCGACCTATTTAGAACCCGTTTGTTAAAACAATTTATAATGATTTTCACGTTGCAACAACTTTCAACTAATAATCCCCAATCTGGCAATCACTAAACAATAAACGTGCACAATTGCACATACTGTGACACACATGATGATGTGATGATGTGTCGACTTTTGACAGAGTGGCAAGTTGTCAAGTGTCAAGTGCCAACAACTGCCCATTGCATCAACTGCCAGTCTGCAAGTTTCAGTTTTCACAAGTCTGCAACAACTCTGCATTTTGCAACAAACAATCGACCTCGGGGCGGCCCAGTGACCCAGTCCACCACTCCACGCGCGAGTGTACGCCACTCGACTGATGCCTCCACTGAGTCCAGTACTCCACTCTCCACGGCCATTTTGGCATTTTGAGTTTCAAATCTAAATTTCAGACATCAGTCTATTTCGACCCGGTCTCAACTCTCAACTCTCAACTCTCAGTCTCTCTAAGTCTGCTCTCACAAAGTTCAGACCTCAGACTTCAGACTGTACAGTTCCGAGAGAATCCAACACAAGAAGAGAGTATGTAGTCCTCCGGCTTCACAAGTTCACTGTTCAGAGTTCTGACTTCAGAGTTCTGACACATGTTGTGATAGAGTCAGGGACTCATGGACTCATTGGGGCTTGGGAGTTTAAAGAGTCAGTGATGAGTGAAAGCTGAATGCCAGAAAGAATATTTCTATCCAATCATAATTTATATATATATATACAAAACGCTTCCAAGTGAAGTGACTAATGGCAACAAGTGTTCAGAAAATTAAAAAACTGTATTTGTTGTCGTTTTTTATTCCCTCATTGTTTTTCTTGAAAAACAAAACATATCAAAAAACAAAATCCCTCAGGCCATCATAACCTCATTGGTTTATCGTTTTTCTGTAGCTGCCTGCTATTCAATTGCCCAGTGCTCAACTCGTGTTCTTCTAACCAGCGGCGCCCTACCCGGTTTCTGACACTAGTGTCCACTGTCCAGCGTTTAGCGTCCAGCCACTCCAGCCACTCCAGCGTCCTAGCGTCCACTGTCCACTATTCACTTACTGTCCAGTGCCCAGTGCTCTATCTTCAGTGCTCAGTGGCCAATGTTCGTGTCCAGTGCTCAGTACTCGAGTGTCCAATGCTTAGTGCTAAGTGGCATGTGTCAAGTGCCTACTCTCTAGCAGTAGACTCCACTGTGCTCCTCTAGTAAATAACTAAATACATTACCTACTAGTGGCTAGCTAGTGCCCAATTTTTTCAGTCTTATCGGTTTTCGACATCATGTAAACTTACAGAGTAAGAGATTTTTTGCAGAATGAACAGGGGTTGTTTCACTGGGACGCAGGCAAGCTTCATATTTTTAACTTAAATTTTAATACTTTTTTTTAACAAAATATTGCCCTGAGCCTGTGTATCTCTTGTGCTATAATTATTCAGCCACTGAGTAAGGAGCTTGAAGTTGGCCTATTTTGGGACTGAGCAATGTGTGTTAAGCTTGGTATATCCTATCATTGGTCAAGCCGTCAAGTCGGTCAAGTCAAGATTGAAGCGCTCTCCAAAGTTATTTATATTTTGTGAATTAGTGGCGACTGGCGCCTATGTAGCAATTTACGGCGCCACTTTGAACGCCAATTTTAAGGCATATAAGTGGCGCCTGGAGGGCACTTAAATTTGAAATTCTAAAGGAGAGAAAGGGAAAGAGGAGGCCGCAGGCCGACCGGTCTCTATTTGGGTCCAATTGACATGTTTTGACACAATAACACAAGACCGTATATTAAATGTAGTATGTATCATATGTTTATATGCATATAGCCCTCCGTGTTCTCACTGCCGCCTTCATAGCTATAACTATTCAAATATCGGTTACAATATCACAAATTTTGCATGTATGCGAGCGGGGCATTTAAAAATATTCGTAAGTAAAAATATAGAGTGCACTGCAACCTACACCAAATATAATCCATACCAAAACATTCCTTTATTGTGAGTTTAGCCTTTTTTAACATCAGCAAATTCCAATCACATCCGATTGTGAAACTTGTGCGCCGGCACCACCTGAATTGTAGTTATGACGCATTTCTCACTCTACAGTTCTTTGTTGAAGTGCAGGGAAAATAGCCCTAGATATTTCAAAATTAATG